AAAGGAATGATCTTTCTTCCTAGCTTCTTTCTTTCTAGTCTTTTTATTTTATTTACTGGATAAATGAATGGCAAAATCACTATTGAGCACCGCCTACCAGGAATGGGCATTCAAGGCTGGTTTTCCCCACAGTGGTCCTAGGAAATGGATACAATGTGATTCCTTTAACTGACCAGATTTAACAGGTGTCCTGACCTAAGTTTCATGAAAGGAGGGAGAGAGGAAAGTATCCCATACCTTTATGCCAAAGCATCTTCGTAAGTAGGCCTGCTTTAACTATACCTAAGCAAGTTCCCAGACTCTGCACTTAGAATCTGAGGACTGAAGGTGACATTGGGGATGATGTCATCAGACATTTCCTACATAGAGGAGAGAAAACTAAGGCTCTTTCTTTTTGGGGGGAATGAAGGGGTTCTGAGACAGGGTTTCTCGGTTTATTGCTGGCTGTCCTGGAACTGGCTCTGTAGATCAGGCTGGCCTTGAACTCATTCTTTTAAATTATATTTTATTGTTGAATTGAATTCTTTTAAATTAGATTTTGTTAGCATAATAATTATACACATTAAAGGGAGTTCAGTGATTGTCTATACATGCATACAATGTACACTGACCAAATAATGAAGTAGTTGAAGACTCGATAATAAAGTGTTCTAGGTTGAATTTCAACTGTTCCACAGATTTCCTTCCTAGGGTACTTCTCTTATCCTCCAGGCCTTCTCTCTTTGTATATACAGAGCTAATAACAGAATCCCACAACGTAGGGTGCAGTGAGAAAATGCACTCCAGGGGCTTAGCATAGTGTCCAGCAAACACTTAGCAAGCACTGCTTACTAATATTAAATTTGACTTCATAATAAAATAAAACCAATCCTGAGTACCTTTCATCAATAATAAAACCAAGTACTCCTCTTCTCTGCCTAGCTCCTAGCACTAGCCATTCCCAAGTGTCAGCTTTAGTAAGGCTCTGTTTCTATCCTTTGGTGATTTGGAATTCATTTTTCACAATTAAGCAGGCAGAGCACCCAGATTCCCTTCAAAATTTAGCAGCATCTTTATTAGGCATGGGAAAGAGGATGAGAGAAGTTCCTTAAAGATGTAGGGTCCCAGGCCAGAGTATATGACAGAGAGAAAGGAGACAAACAGAAGACTTGGAGAGACGAGGGAGAAGTTGGTGTACAGAATTCTCCAACTTCATCAAGTCCCTTATAGTCTCTTAAGCTCTGAGCTTTGCCAAGAATCAAACCAACTTTGGTGGCCATGACAATGGAGATGTGGGAAACCTTGATGTGAGCAAAGAATCCAGGCTTGCAGAGTCCTTGTTTACAGGTCTAGAATTCTCTAGATCTGAGATTCCAAGCTGTGGGTTATATACTGGACCCATTCTCCCTGGTATGGACCACGATGCCATTGTTTCTCCCAGCACAGGATCTCCTACTGCTACCACACGCTGTCTGGAAAGAGCTGAGCTTGGCTTTGAGGCATTTCTAAGGCTAAGGTTTCTTTCCCGAGTGTCAGGTATGTTATGTTTGCAAAGGATCATGCATTGTGTAAGCTCCCTGAGATGCTGACTCTGGAAGCAAGGTTGTCCCTCAGCCCACTTCAGATTCAAGCATGCTCATGTCCTCCAAAACCCCAGTCCTGAGTCATGCTGGCCTTCCCAGTTCTATGGCAGGGAGAAAGACAACTAAGCAGCTAAGGGTGTTAAAGACATCATGCCCTCAAGAAGAACTCGAAGGTAAACCGTTTCCAAAGGAGGTTACTACTGTTTATCCCATAATGTAAAAATGCGTCCAGTGGGAACAGGAGGCCAGAAATTCAGCCTCGACAAGCTAACAGGGAACTCCAGCTGACGGCCTCAACTTCCCCAGTTGGTTTCTTCTGGATGATTGTAAGTAACTGATTCGATGGTGTCACTTTTCTGCTGTTATTTGTTCTTTTATTTGAAGTCTCACTCGAGGGGACCCTTTGCTTTGTATTAGAGACTCTCTCAGTTGTGAGCTCCAGCTGGCTGCTTCAGTGGGGCATCCCCAAGTCGGTTTCTGCTAGACATTTGTAATCCCTGATTTGATGATATTACCTTTTGTTTGGGCTCTCAATTGGCATAGTCCAATTACTCAACCACCTGATTTGATGATATTTTTGGCTGGCTGGCTGCTGCCTCTATTGCTATTTGCTATTTATTCTTTTATCTTTTGTTTGCTGTCTACTTAATAAACTCACTCCTTTAAAACTGAAAGTGCAGCGGTCATGGATCTTTCTCCAGACTGCACAGAACGTATCATTCCCCCCTCCCCAAGAAGGGTCAGTTTCAATTATTCTGGGAAAATAGGTAGGGCCAGTTGTACCAGGCAAATAGCAGTTCCAGTAGAATGTGGTCTTCAAAGATGAGTGCAACAGCATACAATGGCTTCCATATCTGTAGCTTATATCGCAGATTCACTTAATCACCGACAGGAAATATGTGATAAATAAAGTATCTGTAATGAACAAGTAAGTACAGGCATTTTTCTTTCCTAGTATTCCCTAAATAACATAGTATTAGCAGCTACTTACACAGAATTTACACTGTGTTTTGTCTTATAAATAATCGAGAGATGAGTATGTGGGAGGAGGTGCATAGGTGATTTGTAAATAGCATGCCTGCTAGTATCCGCATCTACATCTTCAGATTCTGGGGCTCTGAAAGGGGTACAGAACCATTGCCTGTAAATATGAAGGGATGATTTTAAAAAATGTGTATTCACACATGCACACACACACACACACACACACATACACGTCATACCACACTTGCTCTTCATTTAATGGGATGTTGATACTGTTGAGAGGCAGTAAGGACTGTGAACCTTTGGACCTGTTCTGATGGACAGAATGAGGTGCTACTTGACTTTATGGAGCAGGTCATCAAAGGCAATAAAGCTTCCACCTGGCTTTTGCTCTCCCTCAGGCTGCTTCGCCTTGAAATTTGGCAGCCATGTTGTAAGGGAGCCCAGACTACATGGAAAGGTGAAGAAGGCCTGACTGATAGGTCTCAGTTAAGAGCTAGAATCAAAGCCCAGAATTTGGAGAGAAAAAGATTATGGTGATTCTACCACCCAGCTTTTGAGTTGCCTTAACTGAAATTCTATATGTAATAGACAGAGACAAGCTGCCCTCACCAATGTCCTGTATAAGTTCCTGACTCACAAAATATATGGACTGAATTTTTCAGCTCCTGTGCTTGTGGGTCAGTTTGTTATACAGCCTAGTAAGAAACCACTAGAATTAAACTCTACTATCCGTTGTTTCCAGAAAATCCAGCATCATTTCCATGCAAATAAAGCCATCATTGGATCCCTCTGAATTCCCTCTGGATCTTCAGACTCTCTTTCCTCCTTATCTTGCCCCCATCACTCTGAGCCTGCTGTCTCTCCTTTCTGCCTCCCTCTCCAAAGGGCCGGATCTTCACACCTGAGGTGGCTTTGGCAACTACTACCTGAGAAACCTTTGACTCCTGGCCATCAGAGAGCCCTGGGCCTGCTCTTAGCCCAGGTCTAAGAGTGTCCCTTTAAGGGACCTTTCCCTAAGTTTGAGTGGTCCAGTGTTCAGAATGCCATACTTCCCTCCACAATGGGGAGGGAAGATACGGAGCAATTTCTCTCTGACTCTACGCTCTCATTAAAGTTCACGCTCAGCTGGCACCTTATACTTGTCTTGACTTATAAGGTCCCAGTAACCTCTGGTATGAGGAGACATTGATTCTCACAGAGGTCATTAGCCTCTGCTCCAGCTCCCCTGACCCACACCAACACCCACGCCCTTATCCTCAGTTCTAGGTAGGCTTTCCCGGAACAGGATGGAGAAGGGCACCCTTCCAGACCCTTCAGCCGGGGATTCGACCACTCTAGACTAGCCAGGGCTTGAGAGGAGGTGCCCTGGGAGCGGAGGCGCGTCAATCACTCACTCAGGCAACCAGCTCTGAATTGCAGGCCATTAGGCAGAGGACCGGCGCCCTGCTCACTCACCGGGCAGCCATTGGCAGGATGTTAGCCGATCGCAAGGCAGCCATTCTTATGATTTATTCAAACACTCATTACAGTCAATCTATTTTTACACAGAGGTGAAGATGTGCACTGATAACGGTTAATCATTTATAATTCCATGGACTGGTTGAAAGCCAATGTACTATCAAAGTCGCAGCGGTAGTTCCTCAGCCTCAGGTAGCCCCTGAAGCAAAGAAGTCTTTCCGCTGGCCCAGAGTAACCCGGTCACCGGCTGACACTGAAAACTAGGAAGAAGGTGAGTCCCAGACCTGCCCCAACAGGAGCTCATGCCCTGGTACCGGAGAGAGTTAGAGGAGTGGACAGAGTGGCAGTGCTGCAGAATCCCAGAAGAGAGACATCACATCCAGTTGGAGTTATCAAGAAATGCTGAGCAGAGGGGCCTGAACTTTGGCCGGGTCCTACACGTGGCCAGACTGATACCAGGCATGGTGAGCCAACAATGAGCCGCCGAGCCTCAAATGAGGTGGAACCATTACAGTGCTGAAGGAAGGAAGTGACAAGCAATATTTCCTTTTCCCTCCTTCTGACATCCCCAGAAGTAACCAAATAGAAAAGAAAGCATAGGCTATGAACATGGCCCGGACTGGAGCCCCTGACGTCATCCTTTCTTCCTTTCCCTGAACCCCTGCTCCAACAGCAGACAGAAATGGCCAAGGATCAGGTTGGCCTTGTAAACTCAAGAGCTTCCTTCCCTGGCACTCATGACACATGTAACATATCAAGTCCACCTTTATGTCCAATCAATACAGTCTAATTAAATAGCGTGTCATATTACAGAGCCTCTTTGTCACATTCAGACGTAATCTAATTAGAGCCCCACTATATTTTACATTCTGACTAGTTCATTGTTCAGTGTCTTTGCTGCAATATGTAGCAGTTAAAGATCAGGCTTGGGGCTGTCCCTGAACCCATAACCTTACGGGGTCAGTGTGGAAAATGCCAATCAAAGTTACTTACAGTTCAGGTCTCCTTTTCTAATGAGCAGCACGGAGGACAGAAAGCCTTAAAGTCGTGTTCCAGGCTCCACCTGCCAAGGAAAGGAAATATCTTTATAGACTGAGTAAAATTCTGAGGTTAAGAAGCTGGGTGGGCACGGGGAAGATCTATGAGTGAAACTGCTCAATAGCAAAGCTGGGGCTGGCAGCCCTGTGCCCACAGGGTGAGGGGAAAAGTTTCCTGGCAAAAGATTTCAGGCACAAAGTGAGCGCTGTTTATTACAAGTCAGGACAGAGACAGGACCACACTCTCCTCCAGCATGCCTCATTTTTCTTGTTTGTTTGTTTGTTTGTTTGTTCGTTTTTTGTTTTCAGTCCCTTCCCTATAAGAATCCCAGAGGAGGAAAAACATTCTTGGTGGTTGAATGCTTCAAGCTGTCCATAGCAATAACGACTGACTGGAACTTCTCACCTGTGGAAGACCTTGTGCAAGGAACAGAGAACCCTAATGGAAGGCTCAAGTGCAGGCAGGAAGTTTGCACAATGCACGAAAACAAAAGTGACCCCATTGTTCATGGTGAGAAGATAAAAGTCTTGCAACAGGAGGGACTTTTTTTTCTTTTCTTCTTTTTTTTTTTTTAATTTTTGAGATTATCATATAATTACCTCATTTCCCTTTCCCAACAGGAGGAACTCAAGATGAAAAGTCCAGATGGGTAGGAAGAAAAATGTGCGTGGAAAAGAATGATGGGGACAATTTAGAAAAATAAAAAGCCTATTTTTAACGCTCTTTCTGGGATAAGAAATACTTTAAAAAGTAGAAGCATATGTTTATCGGGTGTCTATGCCATGATCGACGGGCACAGAGTACTCGGGAATAGGTCCTGTGTTTAAAATGTCGCCTCACTGGGGAAGTAAGGTTGCCCTCATGAAAGAATCCCAGAAAAGACACCACTGCACAGAAAGTTGCACCACGTTCTAGTGGAGACCGCCATTCTCTCTCAACAACGAAATGAAGTTAGCAGGGGTTGAAGCACACAAGGGAGGTTTCCCAGGAGCTAGAATGTGAATCTGAAGACTTGAATAGGCATGACTCGGCTGGTGGGAGGGAGAGGGTGTCAAGCATGGAGAGTTTGGACCTAAATGTCTCCCAAAGGCCTGTGTGTCAAAAGCTTGGTTGCCAGAGTGGCACTATTAGATGATCCAATCCTGGAGAGGTAGAGCCTGGTGGGAGGTATTCAGAGTGTTGAGAGATCTTGAAGTGGATTGCAGGGCCCTGCTTTCTCCCTCTTTGCCTTCTGCTCTTCAGCCAGAAGGTGAGCAATTTTACTCCCAAACAGGCTCCTACCACAGCATGCCTTGGCATAGGTCCAAAGCAACTTGACCAATCAACCATGGACTAGACCCTCCAAAATTATGAGTCAAAATTAACTATTTTCTTTATAAGTTCATTATCTGTGATGTTTTGTAATAGTGATGGAGAGCTGACTCGAATGAGGACATGCCAAAAAAGAGAGGCAAGAAGGGAGAAGCGTAGTGATCCCTGAGACAGTGTCAAGGTTTCTCTGCCGCCAGGATTCTAAAGGAAGAAATAATGTGAAGCAAGCAGCAGTGATCTAAAGCATCCAGGAATTTGAGTATTACACAAGAAAGATCAGATCTGGCACCAGAGCCCCGAGTTACAGAAGGTTGTGTTGGTAAAGAAATGGTAGAATATGGTGTCCCTCTCCCTCTCATTTCTGCATTTCCCCTTTAACTAAAACAAGAGAAGTGTCTTAGAAAGAGGTGGAATTTCAATTAGACTCAGGCCTGGAGTACAGTGAGATGTGTACGTGGAAATAGATTGTCCCTCTTATCCATGATATTCTCCGGGCAAAGGCTGTCTGCTAATGGCTGCATGTTCATAGCTTATGCCCCTCATGAAGTAGACCATATCACAAGACTGTAAGTCACTGAGGAAAGGAAACACATTTTACATGTCTTTCTATCCCTAAATTTTAGATCTGACCTTGAATTGGTCAAATCCCCAGTAAGTATCTGCTGAAATGTTGACTGATGGACATTGTTCATTCCAACCAGAATCCAACAGGAGTAACCAAAATCCAGCTCTTCGTTGGCAATGGACCCTAATGTGTATTCTTCTGATTTATTTTCACATTATTTTTGAGCATTACATAAACTGGAGATTCAGAATCCCAATGGCAGTGGTTCTCAACCTGTGGGTCAAACAACCCTTTCATAGGGCTCAGCTGAGATCATCAGAAAGCACAGAAATTTACACGGCGATTCAAAACAGTAGCAAAATTACAGTTATGAAGTAGCAACAAAAATAATTTCAAGGTTGGGGTCACTACAACATGAGGAACTGTATTAAAAGGTCACAGCATTAGGGAGGTTGAGAACCACTGATCTAGAGTCTATTTAGTTGAGGCAGTGTACTCTCTACCTGCCCTTTGAGACTTTCTACCTGAGACACCAACAACTTAGAAGATATAGCTGACTTTTCATCTGTGCATGATACAAAGCCAAGAAGGGAAGCTGCTGTATTCGAGGATCAGAATCCAGATTGCTATAAAGCATTGAGCAAGCTAAAAACTGACCTAAACTAGAACACTCATTTTTCCATCACCAGCTTTTATTTCTTGCACACCAATATCATGACAACCACAAATGAAATAATATTGAAAGTCAGGGGGAAAATTGCCCACAATTTCATTACTTGAAACCATCAAATTATACTCTTATGTCCACATGCAAATCCATTTTCTTAATATAACTGAAGACAATGATTTGACAAGTATATACACACAAAACCTGGCTCTTAAGAAAATCAATTGCAGAATCAGGATGAGTTGAATTAGTTTAAAAAAAAACAACAACAACAACAGAAGAGCCTTGGGTCATTTGAGTTCAGTGCAAGGATAAGGCCTTGATGCTGCCAAACTTGTTAAATGTGATCTTAACAGCCATACAGTGTCTTGGCTGAGGCATGGGTAATGTCCTCCTGGACTTACCAGATCATGTTAGTTCTAATTGCTGTAATGCAAATGTATTTACTTTGTCATCAATGAGTGAAATAGAGAAAGAGAAAGATGTTTAGTGGTTAAATTTGGTGGCTATAAGGGCAGTTCTGGGGTCATGGTATACATGGTTCAATCCAAACTTGACCATGGGCAAGTTCCTGAACATCTTTGTGCCTTAGTTTTTTATGTTAAAAATGGGACCAATTAAATCTATAGTTCTAAGTGTGGTTATGCGGATTGTGTGGTGCCATCCAAACTAGGGGTGTTAGAATAGTGCCCCATACAAAATATACGTACACTGAGTACCAGTTGCTATTGCATTCTTTTCGTTAGGAAGAGGTTAAAAGGTGGAAGATAAAGGAGAAGAAACCAGACCTGTATCTGCGTTTCATTCCTCCTAGCAGTACCCTCTGGGGGTAAAAGTTAGGAACACCAATGCCTAAAGCAACCTGTTCCCTCTTCCTCGTGGTAGATGTCCAAATACATAAAGAAACCATGAAAAAGCGATTACGTTATTCTAGAAGGTAGCCTCAAGACTAATCAAACATTTTAGAGGAAGCCAGTCTTCGCATAACAAGGGACTCTCTAATAACGAGAAACATTCAGAAATTAATAAGGCTTCACGCCAAATAGTGACTCATAGCCCTGAAGGAGCTTCCTGCACTGGATGAAGAGCTGTGCCAAGGAATGGTGTCCCAGATTTGGCCTTCAGCCATTAGCAACATAAAAAAGAAAAGACACACACACATTTGAGTGTGTCTGTCTCTGTGTGTGTGTTTAAAACTGCATTTGTAATTTCTGTGTGCATGTTTGTGTAGCCCATGTGTATACATATGCAGGTAGACACAAAGGAAGAAGTCAGAGGGGGACTCCAGGGATCCTCCTCTATCAGTCTGAACTTTATTCCTTTGAGGCAGAGCTTCTCGCTGAACCTGGAGCTCATGTGTTTTGATGAGGCTGGTAGTCAGCAAGTCTCAGCATCCCCCTTTCTCCACCCCTACCTACAGCACTGGGGTTACAGGTTCGTGCAAGAGCATAGCCAGTTGGCTATGTGAGTTCTGGGATTTGAACGCAGGTCTTCATGGTTGTACAGCCAGTGTGCCTAACCTCTGAGCTATCATAACAGCCCTGCTAATTCATATTTTGATGAAATAATAATCATGTTATCTTTCACCATCATCTCATAACACAATTCAAACTACAAAAGGAGAACAAATATCTAACAATTAAGGATCATCCGTTGAATTTAATGACTAAAGTATCATCGAAATCACATCCTCTCACAACAGGGTAGCTGCATATGTGAACTCACAGCAACTGTGACAGCATGCACGAGACCTGCAACAAGCTTCAGCCAGACAAAACCCAAGCACAGAGAGGGGAAGATAGACATGAAAGCCCACCCCTAGCTGAGAAACTGTTGGTGTTTAATAGCTTCTGGGAGAAGGGTCAACTTTGCTTAATGTTGTGACTCTTAGAAGACTGACCATACTCCAGGGCAGGCCCCACTCCCAAGAAAGTAGAAGTGCATAGGGAGGTGAAGGTAGATATAAGAGGAGCTGAAGGGTGAATATAATCAAAATACAAGCCAGTTGGTGGTAGAACACACCTTTTTTTTTTTTTTTTTACAGTTTTTTTTTTTATTAATTACACTTTATTCATTTTGTATCCCCCCATGAGCCCCTCCCTCCTCCCCTGCCGATCCCACCCTCCCTCCCCTTTCTGCATGCATGCCACTCCCCAAGTCCACTGATAGGGGAGGTCCTCCTCTCCTTCTTTCTGATCTTAGTCTATCAGTTCTCATCAAGAGGGACTGCCACTGACATAATCTGATTGGCCTGCTCTTTGATCACTTCCCCCTGAGGGGGGAGCAGCCTTACCAGGCCACAGTAGAGGACAATGCAGCCACTTTTGATGAGAACTGATAGAACACACCTTTAATCCCAACACTTGAGCAGGCAGATCTGTGAGTTCAAAGCCAGACTGGTCTACAGCGTGAGTTCCAGGACAGCCAAGGCTACGCAGAGACACCCAGTCTTGAAAAACCAAACTAAATAAATAAATAATAA